GTTGTTGTTGCTGTGGCTGTCTACCTTCGAGCTGCGCAGGCGCAAAACCGCAGGCCATTTGCAGTACCCACTAGCCGGTCGCACACACACACTCATACACACACAGCCACGCGGGCGCACACACACCCCGAGAGATTCCCCTCCATGGACATTGCCTTATGCGATCTCGTCTCGTCCTGCCACATTGTCCTTGCCGTGCCTCGTTTTGTCCTCTGCTCGCTCATCAAAGCGGGCAAGGTCCTGGGGCAACATTAGCAAACCGAAGCGTACGGCGTCGCTGCTGCGTTTCTGCCGCCGGCTGTCGAGTTTTTCACGCAGCAACGCTTTTTCGCCGTACAGTCAACGCCCGCTGCCAGCATCCGCAACTCCTTCAAACCTGGGCTGGCAGTGGGTGGCAGCCAGCTGTACATAAGCCTTTGTATATACCCAGCGCCTGTTTCTGTATTGGTTAGTGTGTGTGTGTGTGTGTGAGGGACTATTCTGTGTGTAGCTGGCGGCCATTTCGTGCGGCGCAACTAAATGCACTTGTTGTTGTTGTTGTTGCTGCTGCTGCTTCCTTTTTTAGTTGCTGCTGCTGCTGCTGCTTAGCCGTTGCTTTGCCATTGCCGGCAGCTATTTGAGGCTGGAATGTGCCTGCCGCAGGCAATGGCAACGGCAACGGCAACAGCAACAACAGCTGCAGCTGACTGACTTCTACTTTGACTTTGAGTCGCCTGCTTTCTTTTCTCTCTTAGCTTTAATTGACTTTAAAGCTGCCAAAATACAAGTATATATAATCTAGGATGGAAACCACTTTAAAACTGAGCCGGCTCGAACACTGAATTTCATTTGGGTTTCGTTTTAATTTTTAACCGAATCTTAAGACAAACCAATTCAAAAGAGAGTCGAATCATGTATTTCTTTCCAAAAATGTTTCGGCTTAAAATAAAAAACATGATTTATATGAGAATGTGCTTGCAAAGTTTTTAGTATATCGTATTGTTGAATTGTTTCATTAATATCTCGGCCACGTGAAAACCCAGCTTAACGCACCAAACTTAAATGCAGGAAATCGGTACGAACCGCGAACCGAACTTTTTTTGGATTTGCATTCCTGCATTTAATATATAGAAATGTATCTGCACTTAATCAGAGTGGGGCAATTATTTTGCACATACAAGTGGAGGCAGAACAAACAATTTGATTTTGTTGTGCAACTGACAGTTGCATAATTTCTGCATGAATGCCACTTTCAAATTCAATGCACACACACAAAATTCGTTTGTTGTTGCCTGTGTGTGTGTGTGTGTGCGTGTGACTGTTAATTAAATTGTGTCTAAACGTGCCGCCGTCAATTGCGTTTGCTCTGCGATTGCTCAATGAATCGCATAATTGCATAGAAAATAGAAAATTGATAATGCTTTTGAAAATTTCGTTTATACCCAATTCTCATAGACATCAAAACAATCTCAGCGAGTTTGAGATGAGCAAACGGGATTAAACTTCAGTTTAACCCGACATGAGATAAGCCCACGCCTCTCAGGCAATAATGTGCACACATAAAAGGGTTGTACCTGTGTTGGAAACTGGTTTAATATATTATCAAAAAATGTGTAGTGCTCTATAGCGCTAAACGAATTAGCTATAAACAGGCTTTGATTATTGATTGATTATCTGATCTGATTTGATTATCAGACAAATAATTACAATTCCTCTTCATAGAATGTTTCTAGCATTATATTCTTATCTACTCTCGGTAGCTGCTCAACACTAACATTTCACATTTTCTGTGTTGGAAATGTCTAAATTATGATACAGTGTCCTGTAGCGCTGAAGCAGGGCTGAAATTTATTGTCTAATAAATATAATTTATATTTTAACATACCATTATCTTATTTCTGTAAATGTTCTATACGGACATTGCAAATTTTCTTGCAAAAAGGATTTATGGTAAACACTCTTTTGTGCAGCTTCCTCACGAATCCTTGCCAAATATATGTAGTATATTAGATACAGGGTAGCGCACAGTCGCTCAGTCTTAAATGGGCTAGAAACTTATGCCGCAGTATCTTGGCAAAAGAATGGTGCACGGAAATGCCGGCATAGCTTCCGTTATGCCGTTTGCCTTAGATTCGTGGATGGGCGGAGAGGAAGGGGCTGTGCGGATGGGCGTGTGGGGTCTGGGTGGGGAAACCACTTCAATGCGACGTTCGGTTAAACAAAAGCAGCGGTTGCGATGTGGCAAACGGGAAATTAAACGTTGCAGAGTTGTTCTCGTTCATGTTATTGTTATTGTTGTTGTTGTCGATGCGGCGTATGTGTAATATTATTGGCACACAGCGCACAATGCGACAGAATGCCACATGTTGTTATTGTTGTTGCTGTCCGCTTTTCATTCAGTATTGCAATTATGTATGAGCAGCAAGTGCTGATAACAGCAGCAGCAGCAACAGTGGCAGCTGCTGTGGCAAGTGCCACCAACGTTGGCCGCACAAATGTTGGCAAATAACAATTGCCATTTGGTCATTAAGTGTCGGTTTTTAATGGCCATTTCCCTGAGTTGGTATTAAGTGCACTGCGAGTTATCTTTAAGTCACATAAATTGCCAGCTGATAAACGCGGCCAGAGCCAAAAAGTTGGCCAAAACCCGAACGAAAACTAGCTGATATAAACGACGGTTGCCCAAAAGAAAATTTTAATTAAATGTCGCCGCAAACGATGCGGTAATTCGAGCTGCTAGATGCACAGCCACGAAATCTACAGACACATTCATTCAAGCAGCAGCAGCAATTGCAGCAGCAATTGCACTTGCATTATTTTAGCAATATGAAAATGATTTTGGCTGCCGGCAAGCGGCTCAATTTATCACAAAATGTACCACACCTCAGTCCACCCCCAGCTCCTCGCCCCCTCATTCTCTCTCTCTTTCTCGCTCTCTCTCTCTCTCGCTCCGTGTGGCAGGTTGCACATGTCAAGCGTTTCGGATTGCACTTAATACCCATTTTATGTTGCCATTGGAATTGCATTTCCATGTGTCAGCAACATTTTTAGGCGCCTTCGAGCGCTGTGCTTTGCGCCATTTCTGATGGCTAATTTCTAGTCCATAAATAACGAGGCCGATTCACTGTGCGGCATATTTAATTCGGGCCACATTTCAATGTAAACAAGCAAAAGAATGAAAACCTTTTTTATACCCTGTTCAAAATGGCTAAAATGGGTATAATTGTTTTGTGCAAGTGTATGTAACAGGTAGAAAGAGGCCTCTGGACGATAAGTTTAATCGATCAAGCCATGCCATGCCTGTTGGTCCTTCGGAATGAACACGTCGATATCGGAAATATATGTTTCTTTTCGTATATCCTTTGTAGAGAAAGATTATCATTTCTTTTCGTTCTCTTCCATTTTTACAATATCGATAAATATCGAGATATTGAGACTTTATATTTATAAGAGCTACATACACCAAACCTTGCATATAGGTTGTCGTATATTATACAGATTAAGTATACGGTGCGCCCTCGCTTAAAGCAACCCTTGATATACCCAATACCTAAAATCCTAACATTGTAGAATTTGTTAACGCAACTTAATTAAAAATTATCTCACTTGACACAACATTCTTATAGGGAGCTAAAATGAACATCGCTGGTTTTAGGGTATCTCGTAGTCGGGCACTCCCTATTATAGCCTGCTTGTTTTTATTTCGAATAGTACCATAGAACAGGTAGCATACCAAGGCATAGAATCAAGCACTACGCAGCGCTGGAGGACATGCGGCGAAGGCCACAACAACACCAACAAGAACAACAACAGAGCAGAGCACGGTCTGTGTCTGGGCACTTTTGTTTGGCGTTGGCGTTTATGTGGCAGACATTACTGTACGAGTAACCCACACGCCAAGTTCAAAAATTCATCATTGTTGGCGTTGGCTGCATTGTTGCTCTGCTCTGCTCTGCTCTGCTGTCCTCTGCCTGTTGCCCCCCTGTCGCACTCTGTATGCTTCAGCCTGCAACAAGCCGCAAACGAAACTGACGCTGATGCCCGCCAGCTACTTTTGGGATGAAATATTATAATTACAAGCGAATAGCCCCAGGCCAAGGAGCAGCAGGAGAGACAAGAGGCAGGCAGAGGCAGCAGCACCAGCAGCAGTCGCAGCAGCAGCAGCAGCAGGAGACCAAAATCAGACCGAACCGAACTGAACGCTCGAGCTGCAGCCAGTTTGAGTATAGCCCCAGGCGGGCTCCCAACATGTTCGTGCGGAGAACGTTAAGAAGCAGGATGAGTAGCAGCAAGAGGAAGAGAAGCAACTTCGTTGTGTTTACATATATGTATGCGCCGCTCTGCTCGCCGCATCTGCTCGCACTGCTCTGCTCAGCCGCTGCTGCTGCTGCCGGCATTCGTGATAATTTAGATGCGTTTGCAGTGATAAGACTTGAAACTGGTTTGATACGAGTACCAGCATGTTTGAAGCCAACTGGCGGACTTGGATTGCAGTTTGAGTGAGAGGGCGAGACAAACTTGGCGTACAATTGTTGTGCGTGGGTTGACTGCTTGATACAAAAGACAAAGACAGTAAAAGGGAGGTGGAGAAGTGGAACGAGGCAAAAGCCGTTATTAATTGCAGCTTAATTGCTTGCAGCTATTTATTAAGTTTTTGTTTAATTTATAAAGCGGACAGCGGACAACTACAGACAAATACATAAGTACGTAATATTATTTGTGCGTGTTTGTTTTTGTATTTCACTAGTTTTCATTTCAATTTACTGCACGTCAAGCACAAAAGAACACACACAGTGTGTGTGTGCGTGTGTGTGTGCTCTTTCCTCATTTTACATAGCTGTCAGTTTTATTGAAAATTAGCCTCCAGTTAATTTTGTATACCATTAAATTTATACATGTTTGCCTCGCTACCTTTCTTTCCTTTTCCCACTGGGCTTCTGTGTGTGTGTGTGTGTGTATATGTATATATATATCGGTCGCCTGGCGATCCGAAAAGTAATGCATGCAGATTATAACTTAAATATGAAATGTCACGCATTGACAGGCAGTTTTGAAAAGTGTGCAACAACAACAACAACAACAAGACATTAATACACCGACAAGTTTTACACCTTCGGGGCAACTGCGCCGCTGCCACTCCGTTTATGAGGCAGTGCCAAAGCCAAAGTCACAGTCCGAGTCCGAGTCCGAGTGGAAGTCGAAGCACCACCAGCATCATCAGAGCAGCCAACCACAAAAGGCGGCCACAAACCAGAAACAGGAATTGATGCGGCTCTCGCATACCCATCAATAAGCAAACCACAAAGGGTCTATACTAAATCGTAACTCTCAGAAATAGTTTATATAATAATTCCGTTGATTATGTTTCACTGGAATAACTAATCCAAGCTAACTACTCGTTTTACTCATTACTGAATTAAGCTGTTTCACAAATCTCTTGAACAAAACGAAATGCCTTTGTTTTTTCGACATTTCAAATTATCAAAATATAAAATATTTTCGCGATCTTGAATTTTCAATGATAAACAGTTTGAGGGCATTTTCTATAGGGCATTTCCTAGTCGAACATTCGTGTGGCATACACGCTTTTAGTATTTGCTTTGAGGCGAAAGTGTGCGCTTTGGGATGTGGTTATTCGGGCCAGATATGATAAGGGTCATGTAACTCTGCCCAGCCTGCTGAGGTGTGTGGCAGTTGGGCTGTGCCCCGAAATACTTGGTATGTAATCAGGCCATGTCCCTTCTTCAGCTGATATACCCCTGGCAAAGCGCTTACCAAATTTATCAAACTGCTGCTTAAGCAAAAGTCTTTACAAGTGCTTAACACGTGCTTAATTGGATAAGTGGAGCTCCTTAGAGTTTCCACTCGACATATTTGCAGATTCTTTTGAAAATCGAATCCAACACCGGAAAGCTATGAGGACATTGATATTCCTTGGGCTTTATTCGCACTAGGATCGTATCGTTCATATGTATATGTGGATAGTAATAGCAAATTAAGCTGAGGCCATCGATGAACCTGTCGAACAGTTGAAAGCAATTAAAGTCTGATTCCAGGTAGAGACTCTGTCACACTCACATGGCATAGGAGCAGCCCAGTTGATAGGTCTGCGGCTTTATAATGTGCGTAAAGCTATTATCGCCGACAATCTTATAATACTTGGTTCTATTGTATTCAACCTTTGTGGGGAACTTCAGTTCAATATGCGTCTCGTACCAGCTGCTCAAGACGTACGGTATGAAGTTTGTGGAGTAAATGTCCTTCAGAAAAAAGCTACTTCGTGCCACATCGATGTATTGGCCTCTAATAATTTTCTTAAATTTCCGTGCATCTGCATGTGCTGATAAATTGGATGTAATGTCACAGTCTATTAAGCGTTGGCAGTATTTGTGGTGGCGTCTGGCCAGCTCGGCCAGATTATTGTCCCAGGACATTTCCAGCATGTCGCAGCCATCCAGCTTTTTGGCCAGACGATTGCGCAATCCATTATGGCCAAAGAGCAATAGTTCCTTCATTTCACTGTTCTCCTTATCACGAAGATTGTAGATATTCATCAGCGAGGGGCAAGCCAGACGTTTGTCGAAAAACTCGAATTTGCCATCACAATTCATTAAATTATTATCTTCTGGCGGTATAAACAATCGATTTTCTTTAACTAAATCATCTGCGGTTACACTGTGCAAAAGCAGCTGCACACAAAACCACAAGAGCGACATTTTCTTATTCGAGTAGAAATGTGTTTTCAATGTGATTATGTGTCATAAATTATTTTGTTGTTGTGACATACGTTTGAAATGTAAATCATCTGTGAGACACTTTCGAAAGGCTTCTTAATTAACTGCAAAGTGAATTTAACTGGGTAAAAACAAAATTGAATGTCATTATCTTCATCTTTTGATATGCATTAGAATGTCGCCTAAAAGATATGTTACCGATAAGCAGATATATGACACAACTCTTTGATAAGACTTTATAGCTTTTTTTTGTTTTAAATGTTTATTGTATTGTATCAAAAATAGCATACCTTATACTTTGCCTTTTCTTATTAAGCTCTTCTTGCCTCTTCCTTAAAGTGTTGCTTGTATTGTTTAATATATCTTCAACTCATTCTTCAAGTATCCTCATATTTCCGTGCCTCCCTTTTCTTACCATACCAAATATAAGTAAATGCTTATACATATCCCTCATAATTATGATCAAATTTAATTATAAGTAAGGCAGTCAAGATGTAGATTTCCTACTTCACTTATGCCGCCTTTAACTTGGCTCCATCTATTCGCACACTTATTTTGGCCCACTTCTCAGCACACTTAACGCTTTAGTTGGGCTTGGCTACTGTTTAATTGTAAAGCTGGAAATGTTTTTCACACGTTTTCATTTTTCCTTTTTACTTTTTTGCATTGTTTGTTTTTCCATTTTTTTTTTTATTTTTTTTTTTGCTGTTGGCCGTTGACAGGTGGCTAAAATGCATTTGCACCATTTTTCAGCGTGCGATTTTTCGCTTCACATATGCAACAGCAACAGCGAGTGGGCGTGTGTGTGTGTGTCTGTGTGTGCGAGCCAGTGAGTGTGTGTGCTTGTGTGTGGGTAACACATGTCTGCAAATTGCTTTACTAACTGACTGACTGACTGTGACTACTGACTGAATCGACAGTTGTGGCTGTTGTTGTTGTTGTTGCTGTTGACGGCTCTTGGCTGCTGTTTGGTTTGTGTCTGCCAAAGTGTTGAGCGTGTGTGTGTGTAACTGCATTAATGTGAGCATATGCTTCGTTGAGTCAGCCGTTTTCCACAATAGGGCTTGCTGCTGCCGCTGCTGTTGTTGTTGCTGTTGTTTTTGTTGTTTTAGCTGTTGTTGTTGGCATAACATTACAGACAACTCCATGGCCATATCATGTACATTAATGTCCATAGCTGCCGCTGTTCACCGGTTGCCGTTTAACGCAACAATTAAACAAACAGCCGCGTGCAACATAAACACACACACACACGCACGCACACAGGTGAAAATGCCTTACTTCCATATGGCCGCATGCACTATGGGCGGCCTATGATGGACTGGGCGTGGCACATACTGGACGGCCTATTAAGTGATTTTAACACTTTGCGCATGAAAATTGCAAAAAGGCAACGCCGTTGATAATTATCCCTTAATTGTTTAATGAGCAGCACTTGAGCAGCGACCGCAGCAACAACAACAACAACAACAACAACAGCAAAAACTGAAGCATCCTGCAGGTTGTGTCAGCTTAATTAATGTCAATTTAATTACACCGATGCACACAGATGCACGCATAAGCCCTGTACGTAATAAGGATACAAAGTTTGTACTCACACATGTGTGAGTGCGCGTATGTATGTGTGTGTGTGTGGTGTGGTGGGGGGATTATAATGGGCTTAATAGCACACACAACTCGAGCTGTGAGTTCGTAAAAAAAGAAATTCATTATTTGAAGATGGAATTTAACTCAAATATGAAGCACTTTAAAATGATAATTCTCTTAAAGTCAATATTTTAATTTGATTAACCATTTTCCTTAATTTAAAATGTGTTTTTTTTTTAAGAAAACTTTTGGGAGAGATCTTGGCTCAAAGTATAAATAACTTTGACCCCAATCCTTCCAATTATCTAACCAAATTTGGTAGATGCCAATTTTGGTTAGAAATCTAATTTAGCCCGCATCTTGCATATGAAAATATGTACGATATTTTTAGTACAACGGGCATTTGTAAAATATAATTTATATTATTTAATTTAAATTTGTATTTTATTTAAATTTATAAACTATAGGTTTGAATTGAAAGAGAACTGGACTGAAACTTAAAGCAGGATTTTGGATCGAAAAACCACGACAATTGTTTATAGATTAACATAGACTATAACTATAAATAAAACAGATTATATTTAACCTTGTGATAATGCAATTAATACTAGGCAGGCTATTTGAATAGGCGATAAAGTTAATATTAATTTAGGGAAGACAGAATTAGAACATCCGAATCCCAATCCGTAGTCAAGCTCTAGTTAAATCTCATAAACTATTATTATTGTTGTCTCAATTTATAAGCTTTTCTCGTATTAATCTAAGTCTTATTTCCGTAGTTAATATAAATGTCTAAAAAAAAGACATCAGTCAGTTTTGTTTATTTGACTTTGTATCATTTGCACGCACTCTCTCTTTCTCGTCTATGTCTCTATTAGCCAGCTCTGTTCGGCTGATTAATGTTCAGCTGCAAACGAGCTGGGAGCTGGGAGCTGGGAGCCGGCTGTTGGGTACCGAGTACTGTGTAGTCGGGCTCTTTGGCAGTTGGAGCCTAGACCCCCATCAGTGGGAACAGAAATTGGTCGCTTGTCAGTGGCAGCGTCTTTTACCCTTTTCTCTAGTCAATGGCCAGCGGTCATGTGTTGTTGTTGCTGTTTTTGTTGTTGTTGTTGTTGTGTGAGTCCAATTATGATCAAATGTTGTTATTGCCGTTGCCACTGACGGACCAATCTAGAACCAATTCAATTATATTAGCCATAACAACGCGTTAAATTTATATATTTAGGAGCATTTCAGTGGTTTTTCGCATTTGTGCTGAGACAGAGACAAAGTATATATATTATATACATATATATATATATTAAAGACAAATGGCCCGCCATATACATACATGTGTATTTATAAGTATATAAATGTATATGTATCTGTGTGGCATATAAAATAGTGAATGTAATTTTATTCACATGTATCGCCTGCGGCCAATCCGTTTTGCCCCCTGGCCACAAATTGCACAGCGGCAGCAGCCAGCAACCCCGGAACCCCAGAGAAGGCGCACCTCGTTGCCACAGCCCAGGCCGAAACCAGCTGGGAATGTCTGTGTATGTGTAGGTGTGTGTGTGTGTTTGTGTGAGTGTTGTATGGCATATTATATGGCAAAGGCGGCAGAGTGCGGGGCAGAGAGTTGAAATCCATCATTGGCGCATGGCCGGCGGCAACATTTGGGTTGAAATATTATAATTACAAGCGAACGCCTCAGGGGCAAGGGTAGGTGAGGCGCTGTGGCAGCAACGTTTGCGAGCGTTGCCATCGCGTGCCTGTCCGTCTCGCCGTCTCTCCATCTATCTGTATCTCTATCTAACTGAGCTGGAACTCAACAAAGCTGCGGATATGGATACTTAGTTGCTGCTGCTGCCTTTGTTGATGTTGTTGCTGCTGCTGTTGTTGTTGCTGTTGCCATCGCCTGTCGCTGTGCGTTGTTCGGTTGTTGTGTTTACGTTGTGGCTGATAATATGGCGCGTAGTCGCAGCAGTTTGTTGCCTCAGGCTAGCCGCGTTGCAGCACGTTCGAGCTGCAACATGTTCGATGCAACCGAATTAACCAAACACAATTTTGGTGTTAGCCATGTCCTTTAGACAGCTATTGTCCTTGCACGTTGCCTGTTTGTTGTGCGAGTGTATTTGTGTGTGTGCTAAGTTTTTGTTGTTGGTTGTGTTTTGTTTGCTCAGGTGACAGCGGCGAACGGGAGGCAGGTGAATAACATGCAATGTAATATTTTTTATTGTCGTGGTTTTTGCGGTGTAGCAGCTACACCCTGTTTATAAACTGTATAAGGGGCATACTCACATTCTTGTTTTTAAATTAACAACTTTTGTGAAATGCAACTGAAAGACAACTTTAGACTTGAGCTCGAACCGAGTCGTCAAGAACTATTATTTTTCTAACTCCTGAGCAATTGATTCATGTTCGAAGCTTGGTTTATGTTAAGATATTATATTATATTTATAAGTATATTATTGTTTTAATAAATATCATAACCATAACCAATTACCTGCTCAAATAGATCTCCTTCGTTGTCTAGCTGTCCCAACACGTGGTATCCAACTTGCCCACTTGCCGTTAGAGCTTTGCCGCTTGTTTGGCTTGGTACTTGTTGCACTTGTGCGTGTGTGGGCGTGGCAAGCGAAGAAAAAACAATAACAAGCGGCGCCCACATTGTTATTTGAACAAGTGTTGAAGGCAGCGAAGTGGGCCAAAATGAGCTTCACATATGAAATTAGTCAAGAGCAACAGCAACAGCAACAACAAAGACAACGTTGACAAAAACTTGCAACACACACACACACACATGTTGCACAGCAGTGGCAGTGGCAGCTGTCTCCGAAATTACAGTGCATATATAGTATGTTATATGTACGCACATAAAGCATAATTTAAAAATAACAAAAAACTGGCCAACCTTCGACATCGGCCTATAATTATGTTTGGATATACGAGTCGAGTCGAGTCGAGTCTGTGGCAGTGCCACAATCACAGCTCATAATTGTCCCCGAAATATTTTGTTGGTGTCCAGTGGCAGTGGCAGTGGCAGTGTCTCTGGCAGTCTCTCTGCTGCTGTGGTTGTGGCAGCAGCTGCCAGGTGACAAGTCCTCAACGGACTTCAAGCCGTCTGCGTACCCTCATTATATGCAAAATGCCAAAATGCGGCCTGCAGCTACTTAAGTTTAACTTATTTTTAACTTCTACATATAATTTTTTTTTTGCTGCTGCCGCCGCTGCTGTTGTTGCTGCTGCTGCTGCTGTTGTTGCTGCTGCCTTGGGGCATTCTTAGTTGCATGTTCGACGCAATCCTTTTCCGTTCCAGCATTCAGAGTTCTGCAGCAAATAAAGAAACTGGTCCCATTCATAACTGGCGGCAATTTTTGCATTTTGCATTATATTTCCCTCAGCTCTCATTCCGATTCTTCGTCTCAGCACACACACTCTCTCTTTCTCTCTCTCTCTCTTTCTCTCTCTCGCCCTGTCTCTCTTACTCTCTAGAATATCAACTGTCAGTTTTCGAGCTCAAAGCGCCAGCGGGCTAGTTTGTAAATCATTAAAAATTATGCACACACACTATGTACACACATGTGTGTGCACACACACGCATACACACACATACGCTGAATCGAAGAGTTTTGCGAGAAGTTTTAGACAGCAATGACAACGAAAACTGGTTAGGAATTATTCAGTTTAATGGCAAATGTCACGCACAACTCAAATACTAGCTATATGATGAGTCGATTCTATGCATTTGGTTGGGATCATTTCGCAACTGGACTCTTATTTTCTGAGCTTGTCGTGAGTAATTGTCATCATATAATATCATTCTTAATGGCATCTACTTTTGGTAAGCAGATGTCAAAAATATATTTAAAGGAAGCTTAATCTGGGATGTTGAAGTTGAGCCTGTAGAAATTACAAGCCACGAGAGGTTTTATGAATTTGATAAACTTAACAATTAAATTAAAAGTAGAATGGATGTTAATAGTTTAGCAGCTGGTTTAACTTAAGCTAATGTTGAAAGTTTTGGTTTGGACCTTACCCAAGGTCCATTGTGATTAGTTGGCATATTGTGAATCCATTTCCAGCCACAGTTCATTTTGTAAGTAGCGCATAGATCCTGTTGATTCAGTTCAGGTCTTGCTCAGGTCAGAGTTTCTTTTTATAAAAGCAGTTTGGATAAGTCTTAGCCTTCAAGTGCTAAGAGCTGTCCATGAAGGAAATTAATGCTTTCCTGGATCTTTTGTTTTGTTAAACATTTTGAGAATACACATTGCTTTGAACAGCTGAAATAGAGATTTTCTAGATTTTCTTATTAAAGTAGATTTAGCATTTATATTGACCAGCTTAAAATAATGAAATGAGATTGAAACCAGGGCTAAGAGTATACCCAGAGTTTATTTTGGAGAAGAGTTTGATCTTATATCGCATGCTCCACACATAAGCGAAATGCGTAAAAGTTAATATATATTTGCAAATATGTTGAAGTGTAATGTATAATTTGTGAAATATGAGTATTGCCTTTTGCTGTTTTCGGTTTGGTTTATTTTTTATTATTTTGTTTGTTTGATATTTTTATATTTTATATATTTTTTATTTGTAGCTGCAGTCAGTCGTGCGTTAAAAATTAAACGCGAATTTTTCAGGCCGCGTTGGCAGCGCAAAAATGGCATCATTAAGTAAAAGGCCTAAGGCCAGGCATTGTAAATTTTATGAGCCTTTTTTTGTGTCGTTAATAATACAAAAAATATATATATGTGTTTACACACACAAATGTATGCGAACTGTGTGCGTTCGTGTGTGTGTGTGTGTGCCATATATAAATAATAATAATAATAATGATGCGTAAAAAGTGCGGAAATTCTCAGCCAACATATGTTTGGGGGGCTTTCAGGCGAACCATTTTCAGGCTCATCGCAACCATTTTCTGTTTGTTATTATATATTGATTAACACGCAAAGTGCACAAACCATGGCGGAAAAAAAAAACTACATACTTGAATAAATATGCATGGGGCAAGTTGGAGCGGCTGCGGGGCAGGGGTTGGCCGTTCTGTGGATTGTGTGGATTGTGGCTACTTTAAAAACCCATCAACAATTATTACTATGAGAGGAATACATCTGGCTGTCGACGCTGATTTTGTAGACTTGCCACACACACACGCACGCACACACTGACACATCGGCATTCATATGTGTGACCACGCCCACGTTTGCTCCCCATCCTCTACCCTGGAGCATTCCAAACAATAAAGCATAAAGCGCGCCGCGCACATTTTGTCGAATTATTTTGTTGCCAGTTGCTGGCGGCTAACTGCAGCAAATTGGCTTGAAATATTGGTATTGCCATATGTATGAGTTCTCTCTCTCTCTCTCTCTCCCTCTCGCTCTCGCCTGCTCTCTTTCTCTCTGTTTGCACGTACGAATGTGTGCGTGAGCTTGTGATTAAAAAAATATTTAAAATGGCAAAACCCAAAGCGACGTCATCGCAGCCAAAATAAAAATAAAAAGAAATGGAAGCCCCGATTTTCGCTCATATGTATGTAAAGCTTTGCCCCAAACTGAAAGCGTAGCCGAAAGAAGTAATAAAGGACGCCCAAGAGCGCGGCGAGACAACAAGATATCCTATAAAAATCTGCTCAATTGTTTATAATTCAATGTGGCACCTAAAGTGGGGCAGTGCTCATTGTGAGAGCTTAGTTAGAACTTTGGTTGTATTGTGTTTGAAAATTGATTGATAGCACAGACTTAGCATACCCTTCGCAGCTGGCAGAGAGAGAGAGTATAACAATAAATGGACTTCCCTTTGCCCATTTCCGGCCTACGTCCCGCTTTGATGCTCAAACTCGTTCCGGACCACAATGAGTGAAATGAGCGATAAAATTGCAACAATTTCCACTGGCAACGTCCTCGTCCGCCTCGTGCTCGTCGTCTCCCTCGTCCTCATCGTTGGCGTTAGTCGCTGCCGTGCCCCCGTTGCTCTGATAAAATATGAAAAATTGAAATGTCACTGGGCAGCGAACAATCATTGGAATCGCTCACATGCACCACACAGACACACGCACACACACAGAGAGACAAACATGCACCCACATATGCAGCTCGCAGTTGTTGTTGCAAGTTGCAACTTGCAACAATGGCCACTTGTATGCAAATAGCGCAATAATATGAAGTATGTACAAAATTAATTTCGCCTGCGGCCCAGTTGCAGCTCGGTTAACAATTGCCAATGAAAAATGATGTGACATAAATGCGTGTCGGTATGGCGGGGCGGTGCGGGGTTCTGGTAAAGAGAATTGGTTTTTGGTTTGGGTAGAAAAGGGTTGCGGCTTGTGACTGGGCGTTGTTTTGGGGCAAAAAGTTGGCACTCATTTTAATTACAGCTGCCTAACTGCACGCCCTTCTGTGCTCCGCTCGCTCCCTTCGACTCCCATTTCAGATCTCTCTGTCTATCTCGCTCTCTCTCTCTCTCTCTGTCTATCTCGCTCTCTGGCTGTTTTGAAATTCGCCCTGCGGCGTATTTATCACAAGTTTTTCTTTGCACAGCCTTGGGCCAACTACGAAATATTTCAGCTGCCCGACGTAGTCGCCGTCATCGTCTGGATTTGGAACTGGTTCGCCTGAGGCGTTGTTGCCAGCGACGTTTCTGCTGCTGTTTCTTTTGCCAACGCGTCAAAGTCTCTGCGACGCTGACGCTGGCGCTGGCGCTGCTGCTGCCGCTGCCGCTGCCGTTGCCTATGCGCACAAAGTTTCATTTCGTTTTGAGCCTTCCGGCGGCTACAGCAGCGTTCTATGCTTTGTCATTAACACAAACACATACACACACACACACACATACGCAGAGAGTCAGAGCGAGAAAGAGAGAGAGAGAGAGAGAGAGGGAGAACGCGCGAAACAAACGCACATGTAAAGCGCAAAAACGGAAGCTGTAGCCGAAGTCTGAATCTGACTTTGACACTTGCAACTTATGCATATATACATATTACAGTGCATAAGTATGCTATATATTAATGATCGTAAAGGTCAGGAGAAATATACCTACTACAAATTGATTAGCTTCAAGTTCCTCGAAAAAGTGATCTTTAAATATCGAGTGCGAAGAAGTTAAGACATGGATTTTACTTAAAAAGTTATTAGAGTAAGATATAGTTGCGATCTTGAGCTGACAATACATATATATTATATTATGACAATATAAATATATAAAGTGATACACTAACAATGTAATATATTTAAATATCACATTTAAATAAGTTCCCCAAACTCCGTTTCTTACTAAAATCTCAATTACATTTCTTGCTATTAAGTTAAGTGTTGGTAGCTTAACATTCACGATTGGAATACTTAATGTTTGGTATGCATAGGTAAACATATATTTATGCACGCATTTGTATGTTTGTCGTTGCATTGATTACCCATCAGAACAATCAAAACTGTCGCCATTTCACACGCCACACGCAAGTCCAGTTATAAAGTTAATTGCGGCAGCTTAGTTGCAAACAACAACTGAAACAGCAACAGCAACAGTAACAGCAATGGCAACAGCAACAGCACTTAAACCGGAAATAGACTATTAAACGTTCACATCATGCAAGCACACACACACACACACAGACGCACACTCACACACACACACACTGAGACACTTGCAACTGGCAGTCATATGGTGGGAAAAGTCAGCAGCAACAACTAAACAATCGTTTGTTGTAGCCACTTGTGTTCTCTCGCTCTGTTTCGCTCTCTCCCTCTCGCTCTCTCTCTCTCTTTCCCTTAGTGTCTCCTGCTGATGCTGCAGCTGCTCTCTCCAAGGTCGCCATTTGCTAAAGACGTCAAACGTCAAACATCAAACACGAGTTGCAACTCAAACCGTGCTCGCACACAACAACGACTTACAACACGAACATTCTAATAAGCTAATGTAAACAACAAATTCAAATTAGTTGATTTGAATGCTTGATTTAATTGCTGCTTAAACATTTACTTGATTTCTTTTATTTTTAATTTTTTGATTACTCAAATGATAAACGAAACGAAATTAAATATGATAAGGAAATTTAATTTGATCATAAAACTATTTTAATTGTGACTAGTTTATGTGTCAGGTTGGTTAATATTCTAGTTAGACACATGCAGATATAAAAGTAGAGACACGATTCTAATTAGACATTCGATTCAAAGCAAAGTTTTACCGAAAGAAAAATTTGAAAAATACAGAAAGAAATATACATATATCAGCTACAAATTTCCTTCAACTTACTTATAGTTAGTTTTATATTTATCATCTAAATACAGATCAAGCTATGTTGTTGCTAAACAGCCCAAGTGTATAAAGGAACCCTTGCAGTTGGCATAGCCTCTGGGCAAGTGTTTTGGCTTGTAGGCAACATGTTTGAGACCGAGTAAAAACCAGTTGGATGTCGAACCACGATTCAGTTCACAGCGAACGCTCGGCGCGAATGCAAGTCAGGTAAAAAGCAATTGAAAGCCGATACAGAGATTAGTAGGCAACAAACGGCGGGCGCGACAACAACCGGAAACCGGAAGTAAACATTTTTAGTGATTTGCAGTGTGTGTGCGGCGCCATTTTGCAATTAGCAATGCGTTCAAATTAAAATTTAGAAACTTTAGAAGCGGAAATTAAATGCTAGCTAAACAAAATCAATTTAAATAAAAAAAAACAAACTAACTCTATATAAACTAAAAGAAAAACGTTGTAAATTTGTTGTCTACACGCGCTGTTGCATATAAAATAGTTAAAGTGCATTTCCTAAATATACCGACTTTTTTGTGAGTTCCATTTGCATTGTATGTGGGAGTGTGTGTGTTGTGTGTGTCTCTGTCTGTGTCTAGGTCTATGTTTGAGTGTGTGTGTGGATTGTGTGTGCGTGTCCTTAAGATGCAACAGTTTGATTTTGATTTGTTTTATACCTAGCCTCAATGCGTTTTTTTAATAAATAATTTTGAAATATTTCTAATTTAAATGTATGCAGGATTTTGGAAAGTTGCCCAGTGGCAGCTCTTGAGAAAATATTTTTATTTCTGTGTCAAATTCATATTTGTTATGCGGGCGCCGTTGGGCTTGGTTCAGTTAAAAGCTATTTGGTAATGATCTTGGCAACAGACTTAAGTACTAAAATCTGAAACAATTAAGCAAGAAATTGTCTTTATTTATGTTGCGAGGAATGATCCTGCATAATTGTATATCTACATTATGCAACTGTCAATTATTAATGTAATATTTAATCTTAGCACCATTTAATAACACATATATTTCTGTTTACCCCCTAGAACTCCATTTGTTGCATTGGATCAACGATCACCATTGACGGTGGAGTCCTCCTGCCCCAAACGGTGAGTAAATCTCAATCCAAACAAAACAGAAAACCAGAAAAATCTCTCATTCGCGCTCTCTCCATATATATCTCCCTCTCTGTCTGTCTCTGCAAGCCAATAAATTAGTTCAAAAAAGATTCTGTAATAAACGAATTTTGAGCACATAACCGAACACAGGCAACGGCTCCGGTTGCATGCCACAGAGAAACCTCTTTAATTTTTTTTTTTGGTTTCCCCTTTTGTTTTCTTTTTTTTTTTGTGGCTTGGGCCACACGCGCCTCGGGCTCAACTGATTTTCGTCTCTCCCACAACTGCGGCACATGCACATGCCACGTCCAAGTCCAAGTCCAAGTCTTAGTCCGTGTCCGTGTCCGAGTTCGTGTCCAAGTCCGAAAATTGTGTGCCATAAACGCAGACGTTTTAAAAATTTGATGCGCCTCAAGTGCTGCTCGGCCCGCACCAAAGGAGAAATAAACAAAAGTACGAAGAACAAAACAGAAAAAAATAAAAAATACAAAAAAAAAAAAAAAAAATTGTACCACGCCGCGGGCATTTTTCGACAAACTTGGCCCGCAGCTGAGTTATGTGTGTGGTGTGTGTTTGTGTGTCTGTGAGTGTGTGTGTGTGTGCGCCAAAAGATGACGATGACGACAAATGAGGAGGAGAACGGCGGCGCGGTGCGGATAGGTCGCATTATTTTTTGTTTTACCTTAAAGGCTATAAAATACATGGGCTGAGGAAGCTGTTCGTGTTGCCGGTGGGACATGAGGGGGCGTGAGGGGTGCTGCGATTGACCAGTTGTTGTGATTGTGGCAGCCAAAACTAGGCAGCGGGCATGGCCAAAATGCCCGACAGGCTCCAGAGCCCACATGCAGCAACAGCAGCAACAACAATAACAACAACAACAACACCAAGTTGCAAAGTTCAAAGCATGGCCAAAACCAAAATCACATTGAAATGAGGCAAGAAAAAAAAAAGAAGAACTCAAAGGCAGCCGCAACAAGAGACAAAAGAAGTGGCAGAAGTTTTGGGCGACCTTCGACAGACGCGACACTGCGACAACTGCTGCCAGCTCTCTTTCTCTCTCTCTCTCTCTCTCTCTCTCTCTCTCTCTCTCTAAATATCTGTCTTCCAGTATTTGGGGCAAGCAACTGGTTTAAGCTTGAGCGAAGGCGGAATCGCTGGCAAAGTCAAAGTCGTTTGTTTTGTGGCACAAACGAAGCGTAACGTAACGTAACGTAACGTAGCGTAGCTGTGTGGCTGCCACACGTGCTACTGCTGCGGCAGTCGCCGCTGCGTCTGTTGCAGCCACGAAATTTGTTTTCTCAATTGGCAATTTGTGCGCGTTGTATTTAAAATACATTTACATTTTGCCCCAATCGCGAGTGATTGCCATTACAGGCCAACAGTCAAAGGATGGCTGGCAAATGGCAAATGGCGAATGGAAATGGGAAATGGGAAATGAAAATGGGAGTGCATTTGAATGCCCATTCAAAATGCTCTTGTTGCTGCGGCTGCAACTGCGGCTGCTGTTCCACACAAAGCGCTTAACGCGCTGTGTGTTAATTAAGCTGCAATTGGGCATCATTAGCAGCAACAACATTTGCCAACATTGGCAACATTGCCAATTGCCAGTCGACAGGCGAAGGCCAACAGGCAACTGACTTACAGCCAACTTAGCTCGACTACGAAATGCTCTTGCTCTTCAGCTAGTATGAATAACTAAACTAATGGGGGCAACAAGCTATTTGACATTTCAGATTTAAGTTTTCTTTCCAGACCGAAAAGACTTTAAATATATTTAACTAAAGATTAATGCGAAACTTTGTGAAACTATACAAAAAACAAGTATAGATGTGTTTTGGAATTTTAATTTCTTACCCTAAGCACAAATATTTTATTAAAAAATAAATTATTTTTTTTAAGTCCAAATTCCGTAATGTAAAAATAATAGTGTGCATAATTTCTCAGAAATTATATTTACAGCAACATTTTTAAAGGACTTATGGCTATAATCTAAATATGCAAAATCTTTCAAATTCCCATAATATTACAGCTTATGAATTAATTTAATTAATATTTAATTCTTCTTTTGAAAACTTTGGTTAAACAAATATTTGTTACAGGTAAGCAAGTCCGTCGCTTGGTAGAACAATATTGGAATGTTTATAAAAAATAATTTAATAAATTTGTTTATGCAGGCATACGGGGTTCCAAGTTCCAGCTTGTGGTTTTCTTATAAATATATATAATTTTTTAAATTTGTAATACAATGCGGCAAAGAATTTATTTAATTTGTTGAAGTATATTTTACTTATTAGCCATAAAAGTATAAAGTAATTTCAAAGGCATGCTAAATATATGAACCAATTTAAAATGATTAAGTCTTTATTTTTCTGGCGTCGGACCTCGAGACAGCTAAATAAATATGTCAAAAATGAAAAGGTCGATATTTTAATAACTACGCTAAAGTGAATTCAATTCATAAATTTATACATACAAAAATATATTAATTGATATAAGTAGCAACCCCTTAAAGCTTTTCCCTTTTATTAAATATTTTGGGAAATTCTAAGTACAGGCTGTTTATTGTAGCTGAAACAAAATCAACATATCTCGGCACACATGATATATACCCTCCAAAGAATTTAGCTTAAAGGGTATAAGTGAAAAGGCAATTGTTGCTGCTGCTGCGGGTCGCTGCACCTGCGCCTGCATTTGTTTCACTTGCTGTCGATTTGCTTTGTGTTGCATCTGCTGCGAGTTGTTGTTGTTGTAGCTGCTGCTGCTCCTCTTGTTGTTGTTGTTGTTGCTGCTGCTGCTGTTGTAAATGCTGTTATTGCAATATGCACTCGCAAATTGCGCCAATTAGGAAATGCGCATTGGCTGCTGCCAGTGGCCAGTTGCCAGTTGCGAGTTGCCCGTTGCTGACTGTTGGTTGCAGCAATGCGTTGCAAGCAGTATTTGCCACTTGAATGGCTGCCGCATGCAACTGATGCTGTTTGAGCTGCATTCAACTGGAAGCATTGCTGTTAATTTTTATGTGCACTTGATTAGGCCCCAACGAATAAATGAATGAATGCCGCAACAGAATGAATGCACTTTTCAATTGCCCAAATTGAGAGCCTAATTCAGTCGGGGCTTTGCATTTTCTAATAGTTGTCTATAGTTGTTGCTTTAGACCCAGTTTTCCATTATCAATCGATCAATCAATCATTTTTTTCTATTTTTGCTGCATATAATTGACTTTACCTATGCACAATGCGGCGTATGCGCAATTTTTTGTGTGTCTACTTTGTTGCTGTTGCATGTCTTCTTCCTCTTCTTCTACTGCTGCTGCTGCTGCTTTACTTGCAATTCAATTTTTGAAGATTTAGCTATAAAAACACTTGAGTGTGAGTGTGTGTGTGTGTTGTCTGTGAGTTTTGTGTAATGTTTGCTCTGCAACGCAGGCCAAGCAATCGCATGTTGCCAGCTCTTCAGCTCCTCAGCTATCCAGTTAAGTTCACATATATAAACATATATCTATCGCTATATAGCAACTGGCATCTGCCACATGTGGCATACTCTGGGCCTGCCACACACACACTCACATTCATTTCGTGCAGCTTTTTGGCATATGCAGCGCAATCGTCGTTTTTATTTAATATTTTCTAATAAATTTTTCAAAGTTTATTTTTGAAAGCCTCGCAGCGTTTTAATATCTGCTACACTCGACTCGACTCGACTCGCCTCGCCTCGACTCCAACTCAACTTTTGCCACACACACACACACATATACAGCGCATATATTTGTACAATTTGGCACACACACACACACACACGCGCAGACATTCTGCAACTTTTGCTAGCAAATTTTCATAGGACTTGCGACTGATTTCCCATATGCGCCGGCGACTCCCTGCAACAGCTGCCTCAACGGCAACGGCTTCAGTTTTTCGTGGCCTTTTGTAACTTGCTGCTGGCTAAGCAGAGCAAGAAGCAGCACAAGTTTTCTCATGTGCTGCTCTATGTGTGTGTGTGTGCGTGTGTGTGTGTGTGTGCAACAAACTGAATCCTGCTGCTTGGCTCTGGCTTTTGCTTTTGGCTTTTTGTGGCGCCTCCCGCGTCCAACCAAAAACACAAAAATAGAAAAAAAACGAAACAAAAAAACTTTTTCATTTGCCTGCTCATCAGCGTTTTGATTTTGGCCGCCAACTCCAGTTGCCAGTTGCCAGTTGCCAGTTGCCGGCTCCCCAGTTGCCACAGCTGCCCCAGTTGCCTGCTCCCCAGTTGCCAGTTCGCAGCTTCCACTCGACACTTGAGGCATTGGATTCTTCTTAAAGTGTCCTGCGGCCATTTGCGTGATTTGTGTGGGTGTGCGTTCGTGTGTGTGTGTGCGTGTGTGTGCGGGTTTGCAGTGAAGCATATAGGAGCACTTTGTGTTTGTCTTGCCAACATACACAAACCTGGCCCAGACCTGCCCCAGCACTGGGCATAGAACTGCCAGCCCTTAGCTACCTTTTGCCCAATCCAATCCCTGACCAACCCCACCCCCCCAGCCCCTGCCCAGCTGCCCACCTTGCAATTGGCCTTCTGTCTTGCAACGCCACTAATTGAAGCGCATTTTGGTGGCAACTGTTGTTGCAACCAGTTGTTGCAACAACGCGATAAATGCGCCTCAAATAAGCGCCCGCCATAAGTTGCATGCAAAACTTGGCGGCATCTACTTGGCTTAGCCACAAACACAAGCCCTCCTCCCTCCCACCGCCCCCTCATATGAGCTAGAGTGAGTGCAGCAGGAAGATGCAGAGCGAGGGCGGAGGCGGCGGCGGCGGCGCGGGGCGTGTCGGGGGCGGTTGCCAGCCAGAAGAGGAGCCAACGCTTGGGCCGGCGGCATTTTAAAATTGAGATAAGGTTTTGCCTCGACAAACTTTCGTTTCTGGCACTGGGAACTGGCTGAGGATTTGGTTGCTGGGTTTGGGTTTTTGGGGCTTTGGGGGTTTGATTTCTTCTTCTTATTCGCTTGTTTTCAACTGTTGTTGTTGTTGTTGTTGAGCTCTGTTTTATGCGTTGTTTTATGCTGCCGCAGGGAGCCGCAACTTAGGTATGATATCTTTAAATGCAGACACACACACACATGCACACTCACACATGTGTGTGTGTGTGTGTAAGCCAAAACGGACACCCAACTTACCTCTAACCAAAACCCAAAGTTTTCTGTGTGTGTGTGTGTGTGTATGTGTATTGTTTTGGGGCAACATACACAGAACAGAAAGCAGAGACCGGAGCCGGAGTTGAGCGTGGAGTCGCCTTGTCGTGGTTACAGCCAATGCTTCATGCTCTTTTGTTGTTGTTGTTTGTGCCTTTAGCGCTGCAAGGATAAATGAATGAGGAGGCGAACACACACACAAACACACACTAATACACATGCAGCAGCCGCCCTAGGAGCCGAGCAATCCACACTCCACCCTCCTCGCAATATGACCATACCCAATCTCCGAGCACCTTTGCTCTATATGAGAGCTGCTCCTGCTTCGACTGGGTCCACCTTGGCTTGGCTTGGCTTGGCCTGGCTTGGCTTGGATTGCCTTGATGCTGGTGTTGCTTTTGGTTTTGGTTTCGTTTCGTATCCATCCATGATTTCCGCACTAATTCCAAACGATCGCCGCTGGCGAAGACGAGCGTTTTGCCCTTTTTCGTCGAGCTGCTGCATACACTAGAGGTGTGGTGCGGGGGCGTGGGCGGGGGCGGGTGCGGTTGCAGGTCGAGCATAGCACAGCACAGGACACACTGTCTGGCTGGCCTTTGTGTGCGGAAGGTTGCCTGGCCGCAGGACATTTTGTAGGGGTTACATAGTCAGCGTCAACGTCAACGTCAACGTCGTCGTCGTCGTCAACCTCTGATGCTGCCTCTGCCGCTGCCGCTGCTCTGCCGAGGTGTGTATCACTGAAGCTGTGTGTTGATCTATGTGTGTGTGTGTGTGTGTGGGTGCACTTTAGCTCATTTCTTGGCTTTTGTTATCGCTTTTATGTGGGTTTTGCGCTGAGGAGGCGGAGTGAAACAAGGACCACAGGACTAGAGGACTACAGCCAATTGCTGGGGCGCCCATGTCGCATTGAGATTGAACAGTTTGCCGCTGAGGGGCACGGCGACATACCAGGCTGGCCAGGCTGGCCAGGCTGGCCACTGCTGTTCCAGCTCTCTAGCCGGCGGCTACTTTTGTCTATGCTACGGACTCTGCAAAATTATTTGAGCCCGAGGCAGCAGCAACAACAACATCTGCAGCAGAGGCAGCAGCTGCAACTCGATAGTTTTGGCCAAAATCTGAACAATGCCAACTAATAAGCTGTCTTTTTGCACAGTCCAGCTCTCCCTCTCTTTCTCTCTTTCTCTCTCTCTCTCTCTCTCTCTTTCTCTCTCACTCTCTCTCTTTGTCATGTGTAAAACGAAACTCAATTATGTCCCAAAATGCTAAGCAATATTCATGTGAAGCAGAGCTGAGTTAATGGCAATGCCATTAAAAGGCAAACCAAAGATGTCAGTCATCAAGATTCCAGCTGACAGGCTATACGAGAGGGGGTCGAGCGAGGGGGGGGGGGGGGTGTTGGAGGCATTGGCAATGCAAGGGGGCGTATTCTAGTAGCCACAACAACGCCCACTCGAAATGCAAATGCAGCAGCAGCTTGACAGGCACAGGCCAAAGCATAGGCCAAGGCACAGGCTCAGCTCTTTTAGACGGCAACAACAGCAGCAACAACAGCAGCAACAACAACAACAACATTTGGCAACAGCAACTCTTCAAAATTTCATGCTAAACTGAAGTGTAACCAAAGGCGTTGCAAACAGCGTTTGCCCTCTTGCTTCCACGCACACAGCAGCTGCTCAAGCTCGCCCTCTCTCTCTCTCTCTCCCTCTCTTTCTCTCTCTCTCTCTCTCTCTCCAACTCACGCTCTGGCTGCCTGCCTGACTGTTGTGGTCCCTGCTCGGGCGCATAGAAAAGATAACGCCTGGGGCGCTATTGGACTAGAATAGGTTGCAAAACTGCAAAGCTGCAGTGTGTGTGTTTGTGTGTGTGTGTCTGCCTGCCTGTGCTTATATACAATACCGTTAACAGTGGGTGGGTGTGTGCATGTGTGTGTGTGTGTGCCTGCTGCACCTGCTGCTGCTGCGCCAAGCAGCCAGACTGCCAGCCAGCCTGCAACCTGCCTCAAGTGGACCGCAAAGCAATTGAAATTGAATTGTTTTGTGGCACAGACCTCCAGCTGCAAGCTGCATATGTGCCGCTGCCGCTGCCTCTGCGTCTTCTTCTTCTTGTTGTTGTTGTTGCTGCTGTTGTTGTTATTGTTGCTGTGGCATTTAAGCCATATTCATTGGCCATGTTTTATTGAGCGCACTGCTTACGCTTTTATAATTGTTGTAAATTAATAAAAATGTGAAACCCACCAACGCGAGGCAACTGCACACACACACACACACACACTCGCACACACACACACCCACAGAGACTATGAGAATTACCCGGCGGACATTTTCTTTAGCAATTCTTTTTTTAACCCTATTTTTTTTCAACGTCGCTTTGGCATTTTTTCGTCTCGAATACGAATACGAATACAAATACTCGTACTCGTAGTCGTATTCGTATTCGTACGAATGCGAATGCGAATGCTCATGTAGTTAAAGTTAATCAAATCGTAATTACCCGAGCCATATAGCCCAAGGGCTAAAAACATTTTAAAAAGCAAACTTGTTTAGTAAATACGCTCAGCTCAGCTGGAACAAGATGCGGGCAGGGTGCCAGCAGGGGCAGGGGGGAGGGGGCAGGGTCATAGACTATAGAGTAAACTGCATGCAACAACTAGGTGTGGTGCGGGGTGTGGAAGGGGGAAGGGGGAAGGGTAGGGGTAGGGTTAACTACCAACTGGCAATTGCTCTGTGGCCTAATGCGCATAACAGACAAACAAAATAAAAAATGGATAAAAAATTGGTTAAAAAAACGTTTCAGTCACAAGTCGACGACTAGCAGATGCCCTGTAAAAAGCACTTAAAATATTAACAACTTAAGCTTTGTGGGTTGAATGTAGAGAGGGGATTGAGAGATTCTTATAAAATAAAATATTATATAGATTTAATATCAGTAATATATAATAAGATTCAATATTCCTTACTGCAGAAAATATGTCCAAGTCGGCAAGCGAGTTGCCATAGGAAAGATCCGACAATAATAAAGACTTTTGTGTATAAAAGTTATCTTGTTCTTAAAGAAATCTTAACTCTTTGTTTTTCTATTAAAAATCCAGTATACTGATATTTGCATATTTCTTTCATAAATTAGGCAAAAGTTGTGATTCGTACCATGATATTATATCCACAGTATAGACGAGTAGATATGTGTTTATTATATTCAATGAAATCGAAATGCATGTAAAAACCTATTATACCCTTTGCAAATGTGTACAGGGCATTTGTCTGCGGCCCTGCTAACTGCATGCAATTGGCAAAGGCGAAGGCAAATACGAAGGGAAGCGTCAAAGGGGAAGGTATTTAAGCGCCCGCCCGACCGCTAGTCCATTACTGCGCCCCCTTCGCCCCGCCGCACAGGTTGATTGAGTTTTATTAATTTGTTGTCCATGACGACTGCTAATGATACGACAGCTAAGCGAGCTGCTGATGAGAGAGGGTAAGCAGAGAGAGGAAGGGTGAGACGGGGAGAGGCTTGATGCGATTATTACGCAAAACGCGTTGGCCGCTTAGCCGTTGATTGTGGCCGGGCTTACACATTGCGGATACGTCATGTGGGGCACACACAGCTTGACATGTCATAATTAGCGTGCGTGATGCCGCGACTGCGACTGCGACTGCAGCCTGTGTTGCATGCAGTTTTGTTGCACGCGCTGGCTGCTCCCTCGGTTCAGTTTTGTTGCCATAACGATGCTCAAATCAACGTGATTTTCGTGTGAAAATCGAGGCGCATGCCCAGCGGTCAATTTGACTGTGCAGCCAAATCCAAAGCCACAGCCCTCCTCCTCCTCCTCCTCCTTCCGCTCGCTCTTCGCTTTTTTTTTTTTGCTGTCGTGGCTGCAACTCCAGCTGCAGGCAGCATGTGTGCGCTCGCGTGTGTGTGTGTGTGTGTGTTGTGTGGGGGTTCCAGCTCTTGGCATAAGTGAGTTAAACGCAATGAAAAGCCAAATATTCCCACACAATCATATGAAATACTTGGCGTTATATACAAAACTCTTAACCCTGCTGTGCGAGGCAAATGCCTCGCAGCCATTTGCCTGGGCCATTTGCTTTGTCACGTTTGTTGTGCCCTGCTTACCCCTCCCCCCCCCCCCTGACCCGCTCCACCTCTCTGCCTGTCTCTGTAATCGAGCTGCAGCCAATTTCTGTTGGCCAAATTGGTTCTCATGCTGCGACTTACATAAGCTCATCAAGCTGTCCCTCACCCCCCCCCCCCTCGCCCCTTCCATGCCGAGCGACTGCCACTAATTTGTCTTATTTAACCTCATTTTATTGTAGCAAAAAATGCGATATGGATCGAGAGCGCGAAAGAGATGCAAAGGGCCTCGAGCCGCGCGATTTATCCTCCACGGGCCGCATCTATGCCCGCAGCGATATTAAAATCAGGTAAGCGTCTCCTCCCGATTCCAATTTTCTGTGCAGTTTATTTTTTTGTTGGTTTGGTTTAATATAATCTATTTTGGCACGCCCATGCCGGCAGCGCTTCGCCCACCGTTTCGCCAACGATCTCAAATTCCTCATCGCCCACACCGACGCCGCCCGCCAGCTCCTCTGTGACGCCGCTGGGCTTGCCCGGCGCGGCGGCGGCTGCCGCTGTGGCCGCTGCCGCAGCGGCTGCTGCGGGCGCCGGACCTGGCGGTGGCGCCACGGCCGGGGCCAGTTCCTATTTGCACAACCACAAGCCCATCTCGGGCATACCCTGTGTGGCGGCCGCGTCTAGGTATACGGCGCCGGTGCACATCGATGTCGGCGGCACAATCTACACGAGCTCTCTGGAGACGCTTACCAAATATCCCGAATCGAAGCTGGCCAAGCTATTCAATGGACAGATACCCATTGTGCTCGACTCGCTGAAGCAGCATTATTTCATCGATCGGGATGGTGGCATGTTTCGCCATATACTTAACTTTATGAGAAACTCAAGACTATTGATTGCCGACGATTTTCCCGACCTTGAGCTCTTGCTCGAGGAGGCCCGCTACTACGAAGTGGAGCGTAAGTATTACCCACCTTCCCCTCCCCCTCCCCATCCATTACTAAACACATTTAACCTGTTGCTAATTTGAATCCCCTTCTCTCTCTCTCTCGCTCTCCCTCTCTGTCTCTATGTCTGTGGTCTCTGTGGCCCACGGCAGCCATGGTTAAGCAGCTGGAGAGTATGCGCAAGGAGCGCGTTCGCAATGGCAACTATTTGGTGGCGCCACCCACACCGCCAGCACGTCACATTAAGACCAGCCCAAGGACTAGCGGTGCGCCCGAGTGCAATTATGAGGTGGTCGCGCTTCACATCTCACCGGATCTGGGTGAACGCATTATGCTGTCGGCGGAACGGGCGCTGCTCGACGAGCTCTTCCCGGAGGCCAATCAGGCAACGCAGTCGAGTCGGAGCGGCGTCTCCTGGAATCAGGGCGATTGGCGCCAAATCATCCGCTTCCCACTCAACGGCTATTGCAAGCTCAATTCCGTGCAGGTGCTCACACGGCTGCTGAACGCCGGCTTCACCATCGAGGCCAGCACCGGGGGCGGCGTCGAGGGGCAGCAGTTCTCCGAGTATTTGCTGGTGCGTCGCGTTCCAATGTGATAGGCTCCATGTCCAGGTCAACGTCAGCGTCAACGTTCTGGGCACTGTGTAATCGTAATCTTTGTGCGAGTTGCGCACTAATTGCTGCCCTTTAGGCGGCTCTTGGGGGTTTTCCACGGGGCGGGATGGGGCGGGCACGGGCACAGAAACGGGGGCGGGCGGGCGTTAAGCAGCACGATACGGGGTGCGGGGTGCGAGGTGCGAAGGGGGGAGCGGTGTTTTTTGCAAACAATTTCTAAAATCCAAATGTTATTTAATGTTTATATCAAATACGTTTTTGCTGGCAGTCAACCCACACAAAGAAACAACCCTCCCCATCCACCCAACCACTCACACACACACACACACACACACACACACCCACACGCACACATCATATTCGTGTATTTCAATAGTATTTTAGGTAGAGCCCAGAGCCCCCAGCACTGATTTGTTTATGGCCTAAGTTCGGCATATTTAAAATAGTTTCTGTTTTCTTTTTTAAGTACTTCCAATACGGTTATAATTAAAATACTTTCGGTTATTTAATTGCTTAAAAAAAACTAGCAAGACAGACAGTTATCGAGAATTGTCTTAAAGCATAACTTATAATACGACGCACACATATGTAGCTATCAAAAGAAAACAAAAATCAAAGAAAACAAGTAAGTAAAACAAAAACAAAAACAAAAACTATGCAACTATATTGATTAAACTCAAAGCAATAGTTTTGTAGTACATAATTGATGTAATTGAACTTTTATGAATGTAAACTATGGATTAACTTTTCAATATACATACATATGCAAGTACATATACATACATACATACATACCGACAAGTTATACAATATGTGCAAAATATAAAAAATACTCAACCAAAACAAAACAAATAAATAAATTTTAAAAAACAGTTTGCGACTACTTCTAGCAAAATCCATTGAATTGTCTAATTGCGTATATCAAAATAAAAAAAAAGATAAATAAATACAAATTATTTAAAAATAACAACGTTTTATTTAATTCAGTAACGGTTAGAATTTGATCAGCGCCATCTACCGGTCAGTATATTTGCACAGCGCCATCTAAATCGTATAAACTGTTTTCAGCAGTTCCTGGAGAACCAATAGTTCCAAATCACAGCAAAACTCGCTTCAAATCTTCCAACAATTAAATTCGGTTTTTAATAAAAAAAAAAACCAGGCACAGAAAAATTTAATTAAAAAAAAAATTAATTGCATACCCATAAGGTGCAAAAATGATGACTTGCAAGTTTCTTAACAGTCCACTGTTAAATAGCAGTTGCAACTGTTATTTAACAGTTTACTGTTAAGTATCTGTTAGTCAACAGTTCAATGTTAAGTCACTGTTAGTTAACATACCACTGTTAACAGCCCCTGCTTAATGGGGGCGTCAGGTTTGATCGGAAATTTGGCAAAAATACCAGGCGAACAGAAATGACCAGCAGGTAGCCGTACAATTTTTGTGTATAAAAAATTTCATTGCATACCCAAACGGGGCGTGCTGAAGAGCAGCTGGGTGCATAACGTCATGCATCATGATCATGATCATTTTGGGACAAATGGCAAATTTTTTGATGGCAATCGATAGTCGGGATCTGTACGAGTAGAAAGAGGTATATCATTCCGAAATCGGACTGAATTTACTTGAGATATTTCTGTTTGAAAATTATAATTCTGAAATTGTTCCAAATATTACAAATTTTGTCCAACCTTGTTGGTTTTGACATTAATCGATTACAATGGACTTTAATATTCCACAATTCCCAAAATAGGGCTTCATTTTACTGAAATAGTACATTTAAAAATTCCACTGGGGAAATTCAGCTGGTGCCTCAAAAATCAGCTGAAAACCAGGCGAACAGAAGTGAGCAGCAGGTAGATAACAATTTGTGAATAAAAAATTTCGTTGCATACGCGGAAGGGCAAGCCGTTAAATTTAAAATTCAACCAACCGCCTATCTCAAATGCACGTTATATTTAAAAAAGGTTAAAAGGTTCTATTTAAAATTCTTTGGCTTTGAAATGCAATTAAGAAGGACGTAAGTTCATTAAACAGGTGAGAAAATTGGCATTGCTGTATATACCAAATTGATCATAAATAGGCCGCATTCTCTTTGAAGCAACTGGCCAAATCGTTCTAACTGGCAGCAGTTGCCTTAAATTAATCATAATTAAGCATTTATTTTAAAATCGTTTTATTTACTCGTATATGCGTAATTTTGCGTAGGTACTTGTAAACTAATTGCAATTAAATTAAATTAAATTAAAATTTATACGCCAAATTGTATATGCAGAAATATGCGTACAGTTAAGCTGTTAATTATTGTATACAAATAAGTATTATAATCGCATTGATTGTGTATATTATTTACATATATCTTTGATCAATATAAAATAGACTAAAAATCTTAAGATTATGTTTCAGTTTCAACCTTAATGTGCCAACAAATTTATCGAAATCTTTAGGAGAATTGCATAATCAATGCATGGCACGCTCGGGATTTATTGTTTTGTGTTTGTTTGTTTGCTTATTTATCGTTTTTGTTTTTTTCGCAATTAAATCTGAACTATTTATCGAATTGATTTTGAAACTAGGCCCCAAAATTGTGTAAAGAAATAAGATCTGTGTGGCTAGCATAGAATTTAACAGTGGCCTACGAGTTTGTTCACAAGTAATTTAAAAAAATCTTAATTATAGAGAATCGCCTAGGAACTATATCACAGTTGGAGACTATAAACTAAAAGCCTATAACTCGTATTAGATATATATTTATATATATATATAATGTAGATAGATTGATAGATAAGATATTGATTGACTTTAGCTTAGTGGGGCGCCGCATGCAATACCGAAAAACCTGAACACAAGCCAAATGGATGAACTTGGGTTCAAGTTTCATGCTTGGTTTCTTCGCAGGGCGTCTAAGAAATGCACTATCGGTGTTTTGTTCTCGTAATTACATTGAATCTACAAGCGCTATTAAAAAAAGTACACAACTAGAGTTAAGTATCTAGAGTTGTTCTTAAAGGGGGGGACTAAGTACGCTAGAGTGTTATATCGAGAGACTATACAATTATTGGAAGGGGGAAGGGATTTATACAACTACAGACGAATGGGTATTGTTTTTGTATCTATGATAACAGCATTCAGAAGGCACACATCAGAGCAACTGCGTCCGCAACTGGCAACCGACAACTGGCGATGCCTTCCACAAGGCACTTGGGTACTACGTGGCAAGATTGATATCCAAAGTTAACTCATTTCTTCTGGCAGTGTGTTCTCTCTCTCTCACTTTCTCTTACTCCCTCTCTCTTTCTCTCTGCGGCTACACTCGCGTCTCCGTGCTGCGACTGCGCAGCAATTGGAGCGGCTGCAGCTCCCGCTGCGTATCATTGTAGTACTCATGGTCGGAGCTGGTGGACTCGCTGCCCGGCATTTTCACCTCCATGGTGCCGGGCACGCCCGCAACGGGTATGCCAATTGTCTGTGTGGGCATCGGCGCCTCCCCAGCGCTGAGTGCGTTCAGCAGATACTCTGGATTGTCGACGCTCACGGGCACCTGGTTGTGGGACATAGCAAGAATTCGATTAGTATTCGGCTCTTTAATATATTATTATCGTTAACTTACGCCAATGACATCGATGTAGCCGGTAGCTGCGGCTGTGGCCATGTTGTTGTTCGGATTGTTGTTGTTGTTGTTGTTGTTGCCGTTGGGATTAGTCTGACCCGTGGGCATCAGGTAGTCATCCTCATCGACCGGCAGATCGAGGCGCAGATTGCCCACGCCCACTTCGCGTGCATTGGAATCGGTTTCATCGTCGCCGCCGATGCCGCCGCTGTTGGAGTTCTTGTTGCTGGGATCCTTGCAGTAGCGATTGAGTTTGGGTATCTCATCGGTGCCGTCGGTGCGATGGCTGGGACCCGGTGCCGCCTTTGGCTGCAGATAATCGTCCGCCTCGACCATGGGCTCGGAGCCGTCTGTGGTGGGCGCCAGCTTGCGTATGAGATCCTTCTCGTCCTGGCTCGTATAGGCGGGCAGGCGCGTGAACTTGTCGCCGGGTATGGCCAGATAGCGGCCCGGATCGCGTGCGAATTCGGCAAACACATTGGTCAGCTGCTTGAACGGCGGACGCAAGTCGGCGTCCAGCTGCCAGCAGGAGAGCAGCGTGCAGTAAATGTCCAGGGAGCAGATCTCGGGCTGCTCCAGCTTCAGGCCCATCTCGATGAGATCGGGTATATCCTTGGCGAGTATATTCTCGTGTGGTCGCTGGCCAAAGGTCAACAGCTCCCAGATGGTCACACCGAAGGCCCACACATCCGACTTGCTGGAGAAGACGCGATGCCTGATGCACTCGAGGGCCAACCACTTGATGGGCATCTTGCCGCCAGCCGCTTTGTACTCGTTCGAGTCCAGGCTGAGCAGCTTGGCCAGGCCGAAGTCCGTGATCTTGACCAGGGAGGGCGTCTGCACGAGGACATTGCGTGCGGCCAGATCGCGATGCACCAGCCGTCGCTCCTCCAGATAGGACATGCCCTTGGCTATCTGGGTGGACCAGTTGAGCAGCGCCTTGGAGCCGATTTTGTCGCGATTATTGCGCACATAGTCGAGCAGGCAGCCGAGCGGCATCAGCTGTGTTATCAGCATCATCTGCGAGGACATGCAGACGGCGAGTAGCTTGAGGAGATTGCCATGCTCCACGGTTGCCATGGCGTAGGCTTCGTTGAGGAACTCCTGACTGGACTCGGCGCCAGATGTCTTGAGCAGCTCCTTGATGGCCACGGGTATCTTGACATTCTCGCCCTCCGGCACCCAGACGCCCTTGTAGACACGCCCGAAGGCGCCCATGCCAAGGACGCCACCTTTGCGCAGCTCCGCGTCCTTGACAATGCGCAGCTTGCTGAGATTGGCGCCAATATTGGAGGGGCGCAACGGTTCCGAGTCCTCGCAGCCGAAGAACACCTTGGCCAGGTCGTCCGTTTCCTTCTTCTCCTGCTGCTTCTGCCGGCAGATGTAGATGATGACGCAGAGCACACAGATCACAGGTATAAAGACGGCCACAAAGATGATGATAATCATGTTGACATTCAGGCCGGCGGTCAGCTTGGAGCCTCG